ATGTATATAGGTGATAGTTACCACTCACTATGACGTGAGCCGTCAGCTTCCTTGCCATTCCATTTATATAAAAAAATATAGTCGATAATGAAGATGAGGTCATTATAATAGGACAAAATAAAAGAGCGTAGTTCAATTAGAATATTAAAGTATGTATACAATTTGTAACAATACAATTTAACTGCAGGTTATGATATTATTCTGATGCTATTTGTGACGTTTTAAGCTAAAGTGAATAGCCATGATGTCACATATTAAAAATAATAATAGCCCTGGACAATTCACACAAAATCAGCTAGTTAGCAGCTTATGTTAAGGGTACTACCAACTAATAAAAAGTCTTAGATTGTTTTTGTAAATACATACATAATATAGATAAATTCAAACAATCCAGCAAATTGAATCAACAACCATCGCAAGTAAAGTGGTAAAAAGTATTAAACCTTAATAAACTGCGTATACCTATAATAAATACATATATAATGTGGCTAAAGAATAACAAAACCAGTTATGAACACAAATATTTGATTTGCACGAGAATCCAACCAGTGAACATCAAAAGGTGAAGAAGTGTACCAAACCACTACACCTCCGAGAGCGTCCCGTCAAAGTATTGTCAAATATTATTAATAAATTTTAAAATTACGGCTTTAAGGTCGAACTTCAAAAAATTTGCAATTTTCGAGTTAAAGCAATTTATTATTAAGTATGTAGAGTCCAGTTCGCATCTCGCTCCACATACCGAGTTTTCTCTGAACTATTACATAACGTGCCCACATAAGGCGTAATTGTCTTGGTGCAGACAGGTGCAGAATTGTGTAAGGGCCCCGGTGTAGGTCAACCGCAGTATTCAATGTTGCCAATTAATATTATACATTTCTTTTATGGACAATTCAGTCAACCTATGACCTTTTTTTTATACCACGAAGGCGGCAATCAATAATAATAATAATAAAACTCTTTATTGTGTATAAAAAAAGAACAAATAATTACAAAAAAGAGAAAGAAAATTATGCGAACAAAAGGCGGCCTTATCGCTAAAAACAGTCTCTTACAGACAACCTGGGAGATAAAAGTATTGGATAAGGGAAAGGTAGGTGGCGCACTATAAGAGAGTTAGATATTATATGAATAAAAAATACATGTATAACAAAACAAAATATTACAGAAAGATTTTTAATTGGTGAGAAAGTGAGATTTGACTAGTTTTTTGAAAATGGAATGGGATTGAGCAGATCTAATAGAAAGTGGCAAGAATCAATATGACCCATCTGATGGTAAATGATTACCGTAACCTACGGACGCCTCAAACACCAGGTGTTTGTGATCGCAAATAGCCAAATAATCATTTAAAATAAAATTTAAATATTAACGTCCCGCAAGGAATATTGATAGTGTTTTGTTTTACTTTAATACATTTTTTCACTTCTTCTCGAACATTCCGTGGCGTCACTATTAAATTCAGTTTCAAATTATAATATAAACGTAGGGGAAAAGGGATTGTTAGTAATGTGGACTGATGAGCACATTGCTAGCAATGTCAGAGTGACCTCCACGTTACCATGACCTCTTCCTGGTGACCAGCGAGACAAATTCCTGGTGAATATGTCACGATGGGCTAACTGACCTGACCTCATGTTCATGTTATCATCCTCCACTGGTGACCGGTAGCGTAAAGCGTTAGCGCAGTCGAGTGCACCATTATCATCCCTTAAAAAAATATACTCAGCGAAATGTCAAACACGACAACAACAGTTAACAATGTGTTATGGGATATATTTGTTGTTTTATTATGACCCGAAACTTACACCTTAGTAATCATTGCTGTCATAACGTATAGGCAGGGTTCTAATCTAACAATTACATAATTTAATTTACAAGGTAGCTGGCTATTTTTATATAAGCGATATTAAGCAACTCTATTAGAAATAATCTCATCGGATCTTTATCATCGAGTTTAATTAAACTGTAACAAGTCGGTTAGAGTTCCGTAGGAAAGAGGTAACATGGCAAATATAGAAAATATATTTTTTTATACATATTCATACATTCAGCAGCTAAAACTTATATGAACATTAATGACGATAATGACGACCTCGGTGGTCTAACGGTCTAGCACATCGCTTTACGACCGACGGTCGCGGGTTCGATTCCTTGCACGGCACAAACATTTGTATTCATGAGTATGATTGTTTGTATCGGTCTGGGTGTTTTCTATATATATTATGTATGTATTTACAAAAACAAATATCTATGTATATGTATCAGTTGTCGAGTACCCATAACACAAGCTTTAGCTAGTTTAACTTGGGTCTAGATGGCGCTGTGAGAATGTACTGAGATCATTAATATATTTTTAAATAAAGTTAATCTGGCCACAGTATATATTAGATACTGTAGAGTATCGAAAAAAATATATATTATTTAAAGATGTTTCAAACGTTAAAGTGGATTGTTATTGTTATCATACTAATATTAGTTCAAAAAAAAATATATTATTTAAAGATGTTTGATATCAATGAGAAGAACGACAAGAAACTTAATTTTTTCAAATAATAGTGGAACATGTTTATGATAAATACAGTTATTAAAATTCAAATTTGGGAGAATAGAGTATATGCTATCGCAAAGAACAAAAAATTTCATCAGTGTTCACAACCTGAACAGACCAGTCCCCACAAGCAGCACCCGTTCACGAGTATGACGTATGAGCCAGCCATCATTGTACTCAACCATATTTGAGGGAGCACATCGACCCGGCCCACCACGCCGCCACAAGTTTGAACTTTATAGCGAGCATGACTGTTTCAGGTTACTCCACTACGTCAATTATATTATTTACAGCATAGGCTGTACCGATCACAGTTTTCACCCATTACAGTATTAAATTTACATTATTTAATTTACAATATGTCATTACAAAATTTATAATAAGTTTCTTTATTGTTATTACATTATCCATGTCAATGGGAAAAATTATATGCCTCATAACAAAAGTTAAAATTGTAATTTAGTCCACACATTGTAGTCATTTAAGTAGTCGTTTATTTTATAATAAGCTTTAGAGCAAAGTGTTTTTTTTACATGTATCTTAAATTTGGCTTCACTTAAATTTAAAACACTATCTGGCAATTTATTATAAAAACGTATACAATGTCCCATGAAAGATGTACTTACTTTTTTGAGACGATAACTAGGCATATTTAATTTATTTTTATTCCTTGTATTAAAAGCGTGTACGTGACTATTTTTTGGAAATAAATTTAAGTTTTTGCGTACATACATAATATTTTCATATATATATTGAGAGGGAACAGTAAGAATACCTGTTTCTTTAAAGCGTTCTCTAAGAGATTCGCGACACGGTAAATTATATATTGAACGAGGAATATATATATTAGGAATGCGACAGTCAGTATTTTTATTCCCTATTCGCAACTAATCGGCTAAACGAATTTCATTGAAAATAACATATACTGATATCGATAAAAGCAAATGAAAGTTCCATCAAAATCGAGCCAGCTGTTTCCGACATTAGCACGAATAAACAGAAGGCTGAAATTTTATAAAATATTTTTTTGATGTTAAGTACCACCTTATTCATATGTATTTAGTGAAATGCTGCTAATTTGATATCACTGAAGACACTATAATTTTATTTATTTGTATAAATATATGTTTTTAACAATACTCATGGATGGATGCGTGTGTAGCACTGATGTAACGTCATCTCGTCATAGGAAGTGTAGTCGAAGTAACTAATGGTGCTTCCGAACATCTCATGAATATTAAGGAGGTACAGTCCAGTCACCTATTAGCATGTCAACAGACTTCAACGTAACACAAGACAATTAGCCATCGCTAATTTTGGTTTTACCATCACTTTCTTCCTGGCGAATGATGCCAAAAACAATAGAATATCAGGAATGATATATGACAAGAATTCATTACTGAATAGACACTTACATTGAAATCGTATCACAAGGAAAAAATTATTATAGTAGATATATTTCAGTACTTTACAGAATTCATCGCACTTTTAGTTTCAAATAGTTCACCCGCGTGAAATTTGTAGCCTATGTCTAATGTACCTATAAGTTATATTGTTGTGAAGTTTCATTAAAATGTGTTCAGTAGTTTTTGCGTGAAAGAGTAACAAATATCCATGATCTTGATATTATAAACGCGAAAGTCTGTGACATACTCATCGGTAAGATGTAAGATTTTTCTTCTAAGTGAAAGATGAAATGAGATGAGAGATCAAACCAATATAAATTTAAAATGCCGGTTTTCTGGCTAATTTGGTTTTCTAGTTATTTATCTATGTTTTTACTGATTTATAGATCCTATATACCAGTGAATTTTAGTTACATCTCTATGATGTTTTACTGATTTATGGTTCCCATAGATAAGAAAATAGTACGTAGTTGTTACTCTATTTGAGAGTAGATGCGAAATGCTAATTAAAGTTTAGGGAAAATTATATTTGAAGGATGTAGAGCGGGCAAAACCTATTTCAATTAGTTATGTAATTTCACCTGTGGTTGCATAAAATTATGGGTTGACTCAGTGGTGAATCAACCCAGTTACGTCGGACTTGAAAATTATGGGTATAACGAACTCTCTTAATTACACCGTAGTTGTTTAAATTTCCTAAGAGTAAGGCAAGGAGCCTTTTCTTTAATGGATATGAAATCTCAAGTTTCTGTATGTATTGACTGGTGATCTTGTTAGACTAGAAAATTAGCAGACTTTCATATAGGATATAGAAAAGGTTTGTTCTGAGCTTTTTTATTATACTGTTGATGAAGTGTGTAATGTTTTTTTTATTGATTTATGCATAATTCAAAAAATACATATTATTTTGCATTCCGTCTCTTTATTAATTATACATGTGTGAAATTACACACAGAAGAGTATGTATCCCTTCAATTTTCTTCAAAAGTTGTACAAAGTTTATGCTTCTCGTATTAATATATAGATTATCAATGAAAACTCACCTTATCGATCTCAGCGATCCTCAAAACAATTTTGAGCCTCGGATTGTTTTTTATGTACTCCTTCAGCAGAGCATCAAGCTTATCTCCTCTCGCATCTCCCGCGTATACGAGATGCGTGCACTCCGTAAAGCCTTCGGTCGCGCGTGCATTCTCCACGTAACACACGAGGCGGGCAGCGCCTGCGCCGGCGCCGCTAACATCCGACACCACGGCAACGGTGACCAGGCATAATAACCAACCCCACATTTTTTTTTAAATAAAAAAAAATCAAGCTGTCATTTCCGAACGCGATCGATTTTTGGAAATTCGAATTTGGAAGCGCGTTCGTCGTTTCGTTGGCGCAGTACGAGTGTCAGGCGGTTCGTGGCCAGCCTCCATCGTAGGCGCCCCCGCCCTAGTGCGGTGGTGGTCGCAAGGTCGCGCGCTCACCGCCCGCGTCGTTCTCGGACCTGTATAAGCTTGCTGTGTCATAAATGTTACGTTACGAGTTACGAATCTATTCGCTATTGGTATGTCACATGTGGCATTTTTGGAGCACGGCGTGACCATTTTTTTTTTCAAATTGAGACACGAAACGTGAATATGAGATTTGTTTTTTTTTAGTATCCCAGTGTTATTTTTTTATTTTTTTTTTAGTTTGCAGGCAAGAGCGGAGTTCATTTTTGATGTAACAACTTGTCTCTCGCTTTACTGCAACTCTCTGCATTTCGTGTGAAGTAATAGAAAGTCGGGGAAATGCGCTCTATTTGATTTCATCATGAGCTTGCGCGATGGTAGAATTAGCCGCTTGTTGGTAAGAACGAAGGTACAGTCGATTGTTTATAATAGTTACATACAATAATTAATTAATTATAATAATTTGTTGTAGTTATAATAATTAATAGACATCAATGTTTACTTTCTTTCAAAAGCGAGCCATTTTTGTTCCAACTTGACATAGCGGGACTGTCCCACTTAAAGTCGGACGAATGGTAACATTAGCATGGGCCATGTAAATTGGTGGCTAAATCAATCAACTTGTCAATTTGTAACAGTTTTTACTTATCTTTTCTATTCTAAGTGATATATTGCTCCATTTAATCTAGTTACCATTTTGTTATTTGCATTACCTGCACCTATTACTGTGACTGTCTATTACAGAACTGGATTTTAATATCATTAAATTAATCAGTAGCATGTGGGTGTGTTAATGATAAGATTTTGATTATTACGTTTTGTTTTTACAATAGAGTTTAATGATAATGATATATCATTGCCAGGTACCAACACACCAATAACAATATGTAAAATATTCTAGCAGACCCGGCCACGCGTTGCTGTGGTTAATAATAGACAAATAATTTGCAATAAAATAATATTGCGACTATAAATTGAAATGTAAGCTATCGTATCTTTCAAACGTTCATCATCACACAATGACAAGTGTCATACTCGTGAACGTATGATACTTGTGTTAACAATTTAATAATAATAATCTCCATATCAGTCCGGGAAATTTACCAATAATTGTGATACTGATCTCATGTCTCATTAATAATAATTTCTTTAATTATTTATTACTATGTTCTTCTATTCACATAAATTTAATAATATGTTTTTTAACAATTCTATGGTATTTCGCGATATATCAATTATAAACAAAATCAAATTAAAACATAATAACTTAAAACTAATAATTAATACATTAATTCTAAAGTAATAATTTCAAAATCATATTATTTATATTAATTAATGTAAAACAAATAAAATAAAAATTAAACAAAAATCATTTGAACATATTTAAACTAATTATGATATTTTTTTATATAACATGTCTTCGACAAGGGGGTGACTAATTTGAGTGAAGGTTCATCTTTCATGCATCATCAGCTTCAAAATGAATTGTAACTAATAACCTTCTAAATACTCATCTCAAAAAAAACTCATCATAATCGGTTCGTTCATTTATACGCTACGATGAACCCTTCAACCGAAACACATTTTAAAAGGTAAGCTGTCGAAGACAACTTTGTTCAAAGTCTACCCCGGTGTACCTCGGCGTGTTCAGTAATCAGCACTGCTTTTATAATGAGTTATGATGACGCTGATGATGATTCTTTATCAGGTATGTCTTATTTTTAAAGTACTATTTCGATAGTACAACATGATAAGAGTGTTTGCCGCACGTCATATAAAAATGCTATTTATATATTATTGTATGTATAAAATTCGGTACGTATATATTTGTATATGTACATGTGTATTTAAATTTTATGCATAATATGTCTATAATGAGGTCAATAAACTATTATTAAATGAATATGCAAATTGTATTGTAAAAAACTGCATTTTTACATAATATGAATTTTAATTTGGGTAATATCTTACTATGAACAGCTTCACCGGGCTATATAGGGGGCGAGTGCAGTAGCACTCCAAACTCGGGTAATGAGGATAGGAAGGTGAACATTTAGGGTTGCGTGTATTTTTTAATGCCACTTTATTAAAAAAATAGGCATAAAACAAAAATAAATGTTACGTGTGGACAACCCTTATCACTTAGGGGTATGAAAAATAGTAGCCGATTCTCAGACCAGAATCAGAATATGTACGTAAAATTTCATAAAAATCGGTAAAGCCCTTTCGGAGGACTATGGTAACTAACATTGTGCCGCGAGATTTTTTTATATAAGATTTAAATCTGTTGTCCGTCATGTTCCTAAATATGTAATTGTGTATTTGAAGGTGTTTTGAACGAATTAATGTAATTTATTTTTTCTTTGTTTGTGTCTGATAATGATGTTCCTTCGATCAATAGGCTCTACAACCAGATTGTCTGGCAATTCTAGTAATGATAGTCTACAATAATAAATTATGTAATCCACGATTTGAACATTCAAATTTATTTAAATTTATGGCCTTTTTCATACATTACCACCTTCAACTTTCAATGTCAATGGTCTTGAAACGGTTAAGGATAATCACGATTGAGTATCTACAAGCCATCTAGTCCCAAGCTAAGCAGAGCTTACGTTATGAGTACTAAAGAACCGAACATGCGAAAATCCGAAATAAGGCGGTCCTAAACAGCTAGACCACCGAGGCCAGCAAAAAAGATGGAATGATGCTCCTGTCTATATAAAGATAGTACACGTTGGTAGAGTATAAATCATATGTTTAATACAGCAATTGTATTTATTTAGATGCTGGAATAACTGATATTTTTTATTTTTTAACTGATATTTAGATCTTGGTGGTCTAGGGGTTAAATCACTGCCTTATATACGATGATTAATAAACACCATCTGATCCCAAGCTAAGCAGAACTTATGGGTCCTAGACAACCGATAGAAATATTTAAATACATTTTTTATGAATACATACATAGTATACATAGAAAACACCCAGACTTAATAGTCTGGATGTATTATGATTATAAACACACATGCTCACTAATACAAATGTTCGCATTTTGCGAGGAATCGAATCTGAGACAATCGGAAGTAATAAACCGCTAAACCATCGACATATCATATAATATTAATACATAGTAATGTGAAATTGAGTTTCTTTATTACCACTATTAAAAATGCAATATTAGATTCAATGAATGAAAGACAGACATAGAGTCAGACGGATGAAGTAGCCTGTAAAAGCTAGTGGAAATATTTTAGTCCGGCTATAATACTGTCCGGATGTGATGTATTAAATCCTATACGATAATAATATCTACAATAATGTTATCAATACAAAATATGATAGCATGAATGTATTAATCACCATGACATTGCAGAATGCAATTCATACCAACTATATGCAACATAACATTCTATTCTCCCATGGGTGACCGCGGGTCTCTCCTTATAACAAAGGCATATATACATACAGTTCTTTTTTATAATTGAAATAGCAAATAAACTGACTGCTGACCTGATTGTAAATGATAATAGTCGCCTGTATTTTTTTTATGTATGATAATAGAACGATGCACCCGCCAGTGGAAACAGAAAGCGCATTCTGTTTCCACTGGCGGGTCACCAGTACTGCTAACGCAGACGGATACATCATTCCATTATTATCCAATAATATATATATAGAATAACATTAATTTATATATAATAGATATAACATTAATTTACTAATATATCTATTTGTTCCACGGTTCGCACGCATTCACATTTAACAAAAATGGTTGCCTTGCCGTTATCTTTTTATTTGGGATCGGCACAGTACGTCATTCTCTTCCACTGACTTCTGATTTTTTTTTAAAACTATGAACGTACGAAGAATATGCCTATTTTGTATCGGGGCGTCATAATTATATCTTTTAATATGGAAAAGTAGCTATTATGACAAAACTGTAAAGGTTAGATATATAATATTATGGTTTTTATAGATGTCCTCTATAAAACTGTAGTACATCATTTTGCTCTATAGTCAAGAATTTCCACAGCGAATGTAATATAACGACGTTTGACGACTGGAGCGGGAACACAACGACCATAAATATATTTTTTAATAATTGTAATGAATGTGTATAATTCTGAAAGGACTCATAGCGAAGAAGAAACAACTAATCAAAAGTGACTGAGAATATAAAAAACAGATATTAAAAATATAAAATTTATAAAAAGAATGGTAGACAAGCTGCCAGCAACACATACGGATCCCTAACATTATTCAAAATATTCTATGTTCAGCAGCGACAATGTAGGACTCTAATGAAAGTAAAAGAATTTTTGAAATCAGTCCAATGGTTCCGAATGTATTCAATGCAAACAGACACCATTACCTACCATTATTCGTATTGGTCTATTACAAAAAGTTGACAACATCATAAGTGCAAACGCAAATGTAAAAGAGAAACGTAACTTTACACCTTGCTTCAAAAAATACCTCTGGCTACACTATCCGGTATTTCAGTCGTGATGTTAAAAAAAAACATTAAAAAAAAAAGTAATAATACATTTTAATATTTGTATTGTGGGAATTACATATTCTTTGGTCGACCTTGGTTTAGTGTAAGATGTTGACTATAGTACTTTGTACCTATTTAGAGTTATGTCAATGACTTTCAATTTGTTATCTCTCTGTAACAATTATGTGTAATCATCACACGTGGATTGGAATTATCTATGTCTCCCCAGATACGTAGAGGGGTAGACAGAGCGAACCGGATATCCGCTGCTTAGCCCGGTTAACCCTGTATCTCGATAGCATAAAACTATCGCTTGTTGATTCACCTTCAAATAATATTATAGATATTTTGTTATTATGAAGTTTATATATATAAACAACTGCTTCATCATATACGTACATTAACTATATTGAACAAAGAAACTAATTTCTCACTACATTAGTATTGAAATTCGTTTTATTCATATATGTAATTTTTAGTACGATTCTTTATATGTAGTCCAATAACATGTACGAAACCAATAAACGTAATGTTTTCGCCAAACAAACTAACAAAGTCATACCTACCACGTTATTACGTAAGCATATATAGATTATTCATATTATTTAGTGATATGACAACAGACTAGTTTTTGTTGGAAATCTTATCAGAATCATGTTATACTACGGGCGTAGCATCGACTTAGCATTTTGCAATTTTGTTACATTTAATAATATATTATATATACGTGCGTGATGTCTTTTACCGGGAAAAAATATCGGAGAGTACGATGTGAGAATATTGAGGAGTTGTTGAAAGCGGCAAGTGAGTATACATACATATATTTTTATAAATAACAATGTTTGTGTACATGAAATCAAATATTCTTTTGTGTAGCATTTTTACTACTGTATTTAGTCAGACATAACCTCAAATTTTACTTCTTTTCAACACTATTGGTGTAGTAATATATACAATTTTGTTTCAATATATTGGACAATGTTATGACTAAAATTAGGTTAGTTAACCTAAATAAAGCATAGAAAAAGTATATATTTTAATAACAGTAATAGCTATTGTATACTGAATAGCAAGTATACCTATAATAATTTTTTTTTCTTTTACCTACCTATGTTTATTTAATACTTTCCTAGTATCCTGATACGTAGTGTCGTAATGAAATTGATATCGTGTTGTGTTTGATAACAAGTTCATTGAATAGTTAACGGATTCTATTGTGGTTTTCATAAAATACTCCGTTGTTTACATGTTTAATTTGAAAGAAATTAGCCTACTAAAAATGAGTTTTGTTATTGTATATTAATAAAGTTTCAATTCTATTGGTCAAAATAATGCACTTACTACATTATATATTATTTTATATGTGATCGATTTTGTCATAGGCCTTTTAGTCAGCTCTTTCTACCTACCCTGTAAGGTGACATGAATGTGAACAGAGCCCTTAGTCGTACTAAAATCGTATCCGTCATTTAGGTGTTTACGTTCAGTCACTACATAAATTCTTCCGTGGATTTGGAGTGTCTTCAATACACGCCTCCATATTGTTTGGTGAAGCTGTAAACGCCAGCTGCGGCCAACAGCATTAAAATATATTGAATAAAAGTATTTTATATTACTCCAATGTCATATTCCTACTTGTTTTTGTGTATGAGTTTTATAATGTAGTATTAAATTGGACGTTAAATATGTGGGAATACTAAATCTTGGGGATCAATATCACATGATTATTTTAGTTCATGCCTTTAGACAGCGCTTGTCACTTTTCATTAGTTCGATCCCCAAATTGTTTGTCAATGTAAAAAAGGCATAGGCAAATGTAAATAGCTGTTCAAATGATGGACAGGATAATGCTGGGAAAATCTAAGATGAGATGTGGTTTGATCCACATCTTTTGTATACGCAGAGGGAATTCGTAAGACAGTGCCCAAACCTGAAAGCAAAGAACCTGCAAGCACTTCGCAAAGCAACAGCAATGATTCAGGATGCAAAGCGAGTTTCTGTAAAAATTGGAAAATGGACCCATCTAAAGGTACAAATCTATTTTTTTAACTTATACTAAAAATACTATATATAAAGGTAAAAGTTTGCAAGCCTCAATAAATGTCGGTTAGTGTCTCTCTTAGTTTTAAACACTATCACAGATTTGAATGAAATTTGATACAAAGATAAAGAATTTATTACAAGTTAGAATAAAATATATATTATTAACAATAGATTTTTAAAAGCAAATTGTACATATGTTTTTATTTTTTAGTTAATACAATATTAATAGCTAATTATTAATATATAATACTCTACTAATAAATACTCGATAATACCTTTTTTTAGAACGAACAATATAAAAAAAATTATGACGTTGTTTCAAAGTGAAATTCGTAATTATTATTGATAATTTCTGCCGTTAATTATATTTCTTTTTCTCTATCTCTATTGTCCATTTTAGATAGCTGCTTCAATTGAGAACAACTGACTAAGAACTCAAATGACACATATAATGTAGAGCAAATTAATTTAGTATATTGTACAGATCATTTGCGATGGTCGCGGGTTCGATTCCTCGCATGGTGCAAACATTTGTATTCATGAGTATGATTGATTGAATTTATCTAAATATTTATATAAATTGTCTAGTATTCATAACAGTAGCACTGCCGTAGGACTAGATGGCACTTTATTAATTGTCCAGCGGTATTTATTTATTTATTATTGACGTTGTAGGTCCCAATGAGAATTTGATCAGAATGCTGCAACACAGTGCGCCAATATTCTCCTTTACAAGGGTCGATGACACCACCCTGCAACTGACTGTACAAATGGATGAAATAGTACGATCCCATACATTTAAATTGGATGAGCAGCAAGAGTGGGCAAGAAGAGATGGCTGCCAGGTAACTACTTCGCCTACCTTAATCAATGGTATAAGTACTATTATTAGAAAGGCGAAAGTATGACTGTCCTTTTGTTTCTTAGCTAAATTTCCAGCTGAACAGCTTATTGAATTTGACATGTACATAGATTGTATCACTTGACCTTATATAGACTATTATGTTAATTAAAAGCCGACGATGTCGCTGGTCTTTATTTTATTAATTAAAATTTTGGGTTAGTATATATACTTAGGTGTTGAGACCTTAGCACTGCGATATATAGATCTATTGAGCTCGCCCTCTTTTTTCAAAGTTTTGCTACCTATGCCCGTCAGGGACAAGAATTGAAGGATATTCTTAGGAGCGAGGGTTTTTATCTCCTCATGGAACAGTGTATACTTTCCAAAGGAGATATTTCGCTTATATGTACATGAGTGGGCTATAATCACATAGGATGTCGTCTCGGGTAACGACTAGTAATTTATAAACAATATAAAACATTCTCATTGCTTTCGTCTGTTTCTCTATTTCGATATTTTAATACGATTTTCACTAACATTTAGAGAAATTTTTCCGAAAAAAAAATATGTAATATATCCACTGTACACCTATGGACAGTTACCATATATATTGATGAATTTTATAATAAATAACTAGGAGAACAATGCAGAAATACAGCGAACACAATATTTCATATGCCCATATTTCGCTGTACATATTTGGATCCAATACAGCAGGGGGTGCTTCAACTCCTCTCGGTTTAATTAAAGTTAATCAATAACACAATTTCATACATATAGTTTCATCATTAAACTCACGGCTACTGGAGTCTAAGCTGGAGCAGAAAATAATAAGAAGCGTTTTTACTAAATTTGTTTTTACAATAATTTCAGATAAAAGTCAAATTCACTTTGGAAAGTGAGAATGTTTTAAAACAGGAGATTCATCAAGCAGACGGCACAGTGGCTTATTTTATAAGGGAATTCAGCGACAGGGAAACAAAAATGGTGAGTATTAAATTACCTATATTTGAATATTTTAATAGATATCAATTTACCAAATAGCGTAGCAGAGAAATAATAATGTAATACTTAAGTATACCTTCGTATGCGCACTTTATAATGTCAAGTGGAGAAAAAAGAAAAAAGATTAGTCTACAGCTATTAGATTACTTTGCAAACTGATTCGGTTTTATGGAAGAAACATAGGTACATATAGCAGTAAAATTACTGAGTACTGAGGCATGCTTATTTGCAACGCATGAGATTACAATATTTTTGTCAGAAGTATCTGTATCCAGAGCCGTAAAACATAATATATAAAAGAAAAACAACATTTTTGTAATGTAATGTACAACTATTTCAGAAGTTTACAGTTTTAATAAAATACTTAATTAATAATGAACGGCTGTATGGGCTCTGACTCTTTCTATAAGGATAAATTAAACGAAAAAAAAGTGTCTATATATTTTTTCTCTAGTTACATCAGTTCTTTTTTTCTTTTGCAGACTATAAAACTCGAAGGCGTAGATGCCGAAGCAGTTATATATTACGAAATTGTAGAATAAGTAAATATAAGAAATGAAATAAGTATATTTATTTTCTAAGTTACTAAATATGAGAAGTCTTCTCTTTGTATAATAGGTACTTATAAACATTAATTACATCTATTCATTCCATAATTCATACATCAAGGATTTTAGATAAATTCAAGCATGAAATTGTGTTTGGTATACTATATCTGTGATATAAGTAGGTACTGAAATTAATTTATACAGTTGTAATTGACCGTGCATAGATGCGAGAAGTTTACTGTATTTTCTAAATAAATTGTAAATACCTAACTACTTTGTAGCTTCAAAATAAAATCTCAAAATCTCTTTAAAACAGAAAATAAAGATATTCAGCACTCTTGTCACTAACTGGTGATATTTAAATTGACAAATGCTTTTTTATTCTTATTTCACTTTTTTGTTTTTATTAAAATGCGCAAAAAATCCTTTATATTTATGTTTTAGTAGGCATTTGGTATGTCATCCGACATATTATTTTTACTATTTAATACTTTGATAATTTGTTATCAAATTGTAAAAATAATATATCATTATTCGAAGTATCATGATTTTTCTATTAAAATTGACAGTCTATAAGATACAGTAATATTTGTTATTGTAGATAAAATGTGTATTTTTATTAAAAGAAAAAATATAATATAGATATTATTTATTACTTAGAATAAACTACTTAAGCCATAATCTGTAAAATATTTTTTTTATTTATAAATCGTCATAAAGAATATTTTGTTATCCTTATCTATAAACGACACTATGGAATCAACTACAACATAAGCTTTTCTGAACCGATATCATATTTAACTAAGAACAAGCGCCTTGTCCTATTAAGCCGCGTTTTTGTTGAACCCGTAACTTTTGATACACTATCCCTGAATACCTTATATAATTGCCTATAGCACTTGGAATAGTCTTTTTTGCCTGTACACTTATTTCTTAATAAGCAAAATATTAAATAGGATTTATAACATATAAGACGGTAGATTTGACATTTCATAAGAGTCTATATACTTAAATGACTTTGAATTTTATAAAACCAAACTTTTACGTTATTTTCTTTTATATTATCGCGACAAATTTTAGTCTATGCCGTTCACTAATGTTCAAACAATATTTTTACCGAAATTCTTTAATATTGGGTTCAGTGTACCTAACACTAACAGATAGACGAAGCAAATTTTTCATATAGGGAATTTTAAGATTTCTCTTGCTTTAGGTAGGTACTCAAGCTGACAAGGTAACAAGAATCCCTTATTTAGCGGGCTGTATCGCGTAATCTATGCATATCATAATCTATTCTGCATTATATTAATACTAACATAACGAGATTGCGAGCTGTATTATGTACAATCATGAACGTCATCAGCCAAGATATGCATGATCATGATAAATATTTATTTAGTATTATTTGTAGGTACTTGCATTTTTAATATCAAAACAATTGACATACATCATCAATTGTTTTGATATTAAAAATGCACATTTTACCATCGCACCGCTCGTCATCGACAGGGAATTCATCCCCACATGCTAGAACCTAAGTGGTTTCGGACAGTGCGAGAGGAGCTTCCTCCCACATACGCATACAAATAGTTCATTACACAATCTATGTAATGAACTATTTGTCTGTCGACCATTAAGAAACCTTAATGTACCCAAGGTTTCTTAATGGTCGACAGCGCGCACGTTACACCCCTAGTGTCTCAGGCGTCCACAGGCTACAGTAACCATTTACCATAAGATCGTATGCTTGTTTGGAAGTCTAAAATATCGCTTTATACGAAATAATATATAATATGATATAATTTGTATAAAGTCCTTGCAATGTTTTTATTTAGAACTATATGTATATTAATAACCCAGGACAATTCACACAATCTCAAGCTAAGCAGACCTTGTGTAATGGGTACTAATCAACTGATACAAATACATAGATACATTTTTTATAAATATATACATACCTAGAAAACACACAGACCAATACAAATAATCATCATCTTGAATACAAATGCTGGTACAGTGCAAGGAATCCCGCGACCATCGGAAATAAGACAGCGTGCTTTACCGCTAGACCATCGAGGATGTCTAATAATCTGTATAAAACGTGGATGTTTCTGAAACGGACATCCGGTGAAAATTACCGGATGTCCGATTCAGAAACATCCACGGCGGCCAGTTATCTTATAAGTATGTAATATTATCTTATCTGTGATATAAAGGTAACCTATTTATATACAACTATGCCTACGTTTAGTAGGAACATATTATAGCTTATGTATATATAAGCATTCCCTACAATTGCTTTTCTCTTATTGATGAAGAAACATTTAAAAAGCTAAGGGAATCTACTATAAGCTCGTACATACTTTCATTTTGATGACCTCGATAGTGTAGCGCCGGCGCCTCTCATTAAATCATTACGGGTTTGATCTCCGTATAAGACATAAATTTGTAATTTATTTCGTCCTATTTTACAAATGTTTATAATTGTATAATACATTATAAAACGCGATATTTACTGTAATTACAAGCATTACAATTAACAATTATCTCTCAATCTGGTTTACAGCATAAGGCCGTACTGCTGTGGTTTTTACAGCTTCTCCGGACAAAAAGGGGGGCGAAAGAAGAGGGCACTCAAAACCCACGAAAAGAGCAGCCGAAAGGGGTCGACCCTTTAGTCTGAGGGCACCGCTAAGGGTCGAACCTCGGATCTGGCCGTCGTAATTTCGATCCCCATTTGAATGGGACAGAGAGTCGAAGGCGGTGCATGCTAGGGTAGCGTAGCGTAGAGTCGAATTATATAAAGAAATAGGATCATTACGTCGATGAAATAAACTTCTGCAGCTCATGCGACCTGCAGAGGTCTATTGTGCTCACCCCTTTTTCAAGTTCGCTATCTAGACCCGTCAGGGACAAGAATTGAAGGATATTCTTAGAAGCAACAGTTTTTATCTCCTAATGATAGAGTTACTAATATTTAATTGATGTTTAGATACAATTGTTTCTTCGCTAGCTTGAATTGGCTCTTACTTTTTTTACTATCACTACCCATTACTATAAGGTCTACTTATTCTAAGATAACATTTTACTTCTTTCCATAAGGGAAACACTACAATAAAGTAGACATTTTGTGCCAGTTTTTCACGATTCCGGATTCAAGACGTTGGTGTAATTAAACTATTTGTAACTATCTACTAACAAATATAAACAACTGCAATATTAATATATTAACATAATTACTTAACTGCTTGCGCTTATACAGACCTGAGCCCCTCCTCCTATTGTTTATGGATATCAGTTATTATCTATGGTCTAAGTATGACAAACCGTAGTGAATACGACCACCGCGTTACACATTGCGATAAAATTTAAGCAATCTCTACACCGATACACACTATAACCGGGTATTTGCATAAAAATCGCGCCTGTAGCGATTTTTATACTATACTTTTATATCTACAATTAAGTTTTGGTCTCGGTGGTCAATCGGTTTAGCACACAACTTTAATTTTAATGGTCGCGAGTTTGATTCCTTACACGATACAAACATGTTTCCCATTTTTTTTATGTATAAATAATTTATAATTGACAAAAATTAAGTATATATTTACAAAATAAATATATTTTTAATATTTCATTCCATTAATACACAGCACAGAACCTCTCTCTACTCTCTTTTCTCTTTGTCACGTCATCAACAAAAAAATAGTGTGACTCTAAATCCTGACTGTATATTAGTCAAAATAATGTATATGTTTTAGTAATCGAAAAGTACGTTAATATTGTAGATTGTATTCCCTTTCTTTATTAACACTATTATATTTGATTTATTACTCGTTCTATCATGCGGTGCTACCCGACTAAAATGTAGCCCTAATACTACGCTAGCGTAGTATTAGGGCTACATTTTAATAATATATGCTATAACTGCAATAACTAAGTAAAACTATTAAGAAAATCGGTTATCTAGAGTTAGTCAGCAAACAATAAATCAAAACTCTTTATAATATTAGTTTAAATTAAATTCACGTACCGTGTTGTTGTTGTTAATAGCAGTAGTAGATCAAAAGTAGGCCACAGGGCTTTGCCATTTGGGGCAGGTAGGTATTAATGACATATGTCCACCGTGGGTACGTGGGTACAATAGCTGCGGGCAACTTGTGAATTCGTCACCATCGCACTCCGACTTCTCGCACAGATACCGCATGAATCATAGCATATCAAATCATATTATTCATACAATTACTAAACGTAAAGTTGAAAGTAAAGGATATAGTGTAGCTAAGGTCTGTAAATATTACGTATCAAGAACTAGAAAATATTTAGTTCCAAAATATTATAATGTGTTACAAAAAAAATATAAGATTATTAGATAATGTAACCAAAAAACTAAAGAACTTTTAAATATGTGGCATAAGATACTTGGTTCTACAGTAATGTGTTTATGTGAATACTAACTACTTGCCCCGAATTCGCACGGGTGTACATGTATTATATATAAAACTTCCTCTTGAATCACTCTATCTATTAAAAAAACCCGCTTCAAAATCGGTTGCGTAGTTTTAAAGAGTTAATCTGTCGCTGTCTGTCCGTCCACATGCATATAGGGACGGACAGATAGCGACAGCGACTTTGTTTTACACTATGTAGTAATTTATGTATATGTATGTACATTATAAATTAGTATTAAATGCTTTTGCTGCAGACAAACTGCTGAGCAATTTTGCGGCTTTATAATGATATTTCGTTTTTATAACAAAAAAGTGTAATAAATAAAAAATTGAATTTTACTTGCAGTATACATAATATACTAGCCTACTCCGACTGCGCTGATCAGGTGATATCAAGTGGCTCACGCTTCCCACGGGTACATGATTAATCATTGAATTTCTTAGCCTTTCTGTGCCTTAATATGCTTGTATTATACATATAGCCCTTTCTCTTGAATCACTCTATCTAATGTTGAAAACTGCATTCAAATCCGTTGCATAATTTAAAAGATTTAAGCGCACAGACGACGGTAGCAATTTTGTTTTATGCTATGTTTGTATATAAGTTATATGTAAAATTGTATGTTGTATTAGTTCTTTACCAAGTAAAACTATTTTATAAACAATTTAACAAATGAAATCTATACTAATGTTATAAATAAGAAATATTTTATTGTTGTGTTTTTGCATTGAATAGGCTTCGAAACTAGACCGATATGAAAAAATATTTTGCAGTTAGAATCGAAACCACATAAATTATCTCTAATACATACACATCTATTATACATATATATA